TGGATCTTGCACACACGGCAGGCTAACTGGGCCGGCCTGGTTCGGCTCCTTTACAAACCTAACACTGCTCTGTTCAGCATTCCTATTGGTTCAGCTCAGATCATATCTCACCTGGATGAGCTCCGCCCTTGTACAGGTGATCTGTGATTGGAGGGCCCCGGCCCCGGGCGTGTGAAATATAACTGATCCAGGGACATACTTCCATGGAAAATATTCTGTGCAGGAAACAAAGGAGAGCCGGGATCAGAGCCAAGCCGGAAACAACACGGGTTGTATGTTCAGAGGGAGATGCGTGTTTATGTGCACGGACCCTGTCAGCCAATCAGCATTGAGAGTTAAAGTGGCTGCAACCCTCAGACATGAAATCTGAACAAAGCACATCCTTCTGTAGTGTGTACTTGTCTCAGTCCAGAGCACTGAGTGTCATTTCTGTCTGCTGCCTGCCTTCCTCTGCTGTCAGCACAAGTCACTTCTGACAAGTTTTCCTGACACCAAGACATAAATGGTGACAGGGGAGGGAGCTCCAGCACACAACCTGTGATTGACAGCCTCAGCTCTGTTCCTGTGTGCTGTGTGAAGGAGGAGGTGTGTCCCTTCCCTCCAATCAGCTCTCACTGAGCTCTGCAGAGTGTAACTCAGCTCCCCACCTCCTACTTTCTGAAATCTCAGACAAGCTTTATAAATTCTAGACTTTGAACAGATGTAGAGGAGAGAGGGCTACAGATAAACAGGTACAACTCATGTAGGAGGGTTTGTTTCATCTCTGTATCACCCAAGGTCACTTCACTGGGTATATGGAGGGTTTACAGCCACTTTAACAGTTAAAGCTGAACTTCGGGCAAATATAAAAGAAACAAATGAATGCAGCTCTGTGATCATCAATATATCATTCCCTGGAACCAGCCTCTGTACAGCAGAGCTAGAGTGTGAACGGAGGAAGCAGCACAAGGAGCCAATCAGGTCATGTGCTGACAAGAAGCATGCTGATAGGTGGAGAGAGCAAAGTGACGGAGACGTGAGCTCATCACTGTGCTGCTTTCACTGTGCAGTAACAGGCTGGGGGCTCGTCCGGGATGACCTGGGCTCAGAGAAAGTGGGTTGGATGATGCTGAATTTGTCCTGGTGTTAGCCTTTTGCTATCCTTGTACATCAGAGCTGGAGTGTGAGAGGAGAAAGCAGCACAAGGAGCCAATCAGGTCATGTGCTGACAAGAAGCATGCTGATAGGTTGAGAGAGCAGAGTGACAGAGAAGTGAGCTCATCACTGTGCTGCTTTCACTGTGCAGTAACAGGCTGGGGGCTCGTCCGGGATGACCTGGGCTCAGAGAAAGTGGGTTGGATGATGCTGAATTTGTCCTGGTGTTAGCCTTTTGCTATCCTTGTACATCAGAGCTGGAGTGTGAGAGGAGAAAGCAGCACAAGGAGCCAATCAGGTCATGTGCTGACAAGAAGCATGCTGATAGGTGGAGAGAGCAAAGTGACAGAGAAGTGAGCTCATCACTGTGCTGCTTTCACTGTGCAGTCACATATAGGGGGCTCGTCCGGGATGACCTGGGCTCAGAGGAGGTGGGTTGGATGATGCTGGCCATCAGACTGAGGACCTCTAGTGGCAGAAATGTATATTCTTGTTATTTTCAGCAGGAGCTGTGCTGTCATTTCAAGCCTCATTGCGGTTTACGGTGACTACGGGAATGGGGTCTGTGTGTCACATTCCAGCGTGTCGGCTTCAATGGGCTGCTGAAGATGTTCTGACACTCCTATATGATGTGAATGAGCCCAAAGGTGCCACCAGCACCGCCCATTGATCCTGCCAGAGATCCTCAACCCTTGTGACTTCCCAACCAATTGGCTGTCCGGCTCTTATGTGAACTACAAAACACCTCCCACTATGTAATGGCGATAAGGGGGGGGGGGGGGGTGTTTGAAGTCCAATAACAGGAGCAGTCTAGGATGACAACGTTGCTCCTCCATAGATGCAGTGAGTGGGAGTTGTCACCCGAGGACAGGAAGTCACTGGAGGGCCAAAAAAATGTAAGGAAAAGACGCCTGAGAATTGGCAGCAATGGAGTCGCCTGACCTGGAGACGGTCCGCTGCAATATGTACTGTCCGTGATGATGGGCTGCCAGGAAACGATGGAAGTGATGACACAAATATTCGATGTTATTACAGTACATACCCCTCCGGGGAGGCCGAATATCCCCTCCAGGTCGGGCGGTGTGAGGACGTCTCTGCCAATCACAGATGACTTGAACCCCGGAGCGTATTTCTCGATCCAGCCCGAACACTGAAAGGAATAATAAGGAGACAGGTTGTTGGTTTCTGGAAAATGGTCACCCGGCTCTACAACATCGCCCACCATTATTAGCCGGAGCCCAGCGGTCCAGAGCGCCCGGCTCTACAACATCGCCCACCATTATTAGCCGGAGCCCAGCAGTCCAGAGCGCCCGGCTCTACAACATCGCCCGCCATCAATAGCCAGAGCCCAGCGGTCCAGAGCGCCCGGCTCTACAACATCACCCGCCGTTATTAGCCAGAGCCCAGCGGTCCAGAGCGCCCGGCTCTACAACATCGCCCACCATCATTAGCCAGAGCCCAGCAGTCCAGAGCGCCCGGCTCTACAACATCGCCCACCATCATTAGCCAGAGCCCAGCAGTCCAGAGCGCCCGGCTCTACAACATCGCCCACCATCATTAGCCAGAGCCCAGCGGTCCAGAGCCCGGCTCTACAACATCGCCCACCATCATCATTAGCCAGAGCCCAGCGGTCCAGAGTGCCCGGCTCTACAACATCGCCCGCCATCATTAGCCAGAGCCCAGCGGTCCAGAGCGCCCGGCTCTACAACATCGCCCGCCATCATTAGCCAGAGCCCAGCGGTCCAGAGCGCCCGGCTCTACAACATCGCCTGCCATCATTAGCCAGATCCCAGCGGTCCAGAGCGCCTGGCTCTATAACATCGCCTGCCACTATTAGCCAGAATCCAGCGGTCCAGAGCGCCCGGCTCTATACATCGCCTGCCACTATTAGCCAGAATCCAGCGGTCCAGAGCGCCCGGCTCTACAACATTGCCTGCCACTATTAGCCAGAACCCAGCGGTCCAGAGTGCCCGGCTCTACAACATCGCCTGCCATTATTAGCCAGAGCCCAGCGGTCCAGAGCGCCCGGCTCTACAACATCGCCCACCATTATTAGCCGGAGCCAACAGTCCAGAGTGCCCGTTTCTAAAACATCGCCCGCCGTCATTAGCGATCCCAGCGGTCCAGAGTGCCCGGCTCTACAACATCGCCCACCATCATTAGCCGGAGCCCAGCGGTCCAGAGCGCCCGGCTCTACAGCATTGCCCGCCATCATTAGCGGAGCCCAGCGGTCCAGAGTGCCCGGCTCTACAGCATTGCCCACCATCATTAGCCGGAGCCCAGCGGTCCAGAGCGCCCGGCTCTACAGCATTGCCCGCCATCATTAGCCGGAGCCCAGCGGTCCGTCTTCCACCATAAGGTGTCATCATCACCCCATCATACATCAGAGGGAGGAGCGGAACCTTCAGGATTTCTTCTTCTAATAAAACTTCACCAACATCTGAATTATTCACATTTGGGGTCACCCATCGCTGCGCCGGCACCTCGTTTCCTTCTGGTGTAAGACCCACCCAATCAGGGCTGGGATGGGGGGAGGGGCAGGAGGAGCACCTGCCCTGGGTGCAGTGTCATATTGGGGAGGAGGAGGGGGGGGCAGGGAGATAGTGCTCCATTCTTTCATCTGCCTGAATGACAGGAGTAACACTTCCATCACTCCTGTCATTCAGCCAGCCAGAATGGAGCCCAGAGCGGGAACTGCCGCAGCTTCTGGATGGAGGAATCTACACTCACCTCCCTCCAGCAGCAGCCTGAGTGCCCCCCGGAGAGAAGCATCTCATTGCCGGGGGGGGGGAAGAAGTGAGGGGGCGGAGCCATGGGACCAGTGACATCATCCACAATCTTAGATGCTGCCCAGCTGATGCGACTGGAGACTGGGGCCACTTCTGGCACCTACTTATAGACAACCACTCCTCTCCCTCTGGGGGTCCGCAGTTTGCTCCCCCCTGATTGGCCACAAGTCGGGGTACAGAGTTCACCCCACAATATCGGTAGTCGGAGTCTTCTTTGTAGGTGGATTGTTTGTACCGAATCTTCCCTCATTACTACATATTGGAGCGCTGGGCACTTGGCCCCGATCTGCACTCGGGGGGGGGGGGGGGGGGGATTCACTAAAGACAAACAGACGGCGCACTCTGCAAGGGCAGAGCTTAGTAACTGAGGGGGGCGCTCTGCTGACTTCCACCATCCAATCAGGTGCAACCAAAAATGCTGATGTTTTTATTTTCCTTGCATGTGATTGGGTGTTCTTGGCCAAGTGAAGCTGCCCCTCATTTACTAAACTCTGGAGAAACTGCACTTGCAGAGTGCGCCGTCTATTCGCCTTCAGTAAATCCACCGCCATGAACTGCACCGCTCATTCCTGCGCACATGTGACTCAGTGCTGCGTGATGTGAGTCCATTCCAAATCGCACCACGCGGTCTGGTACAGCAAACACCCTGCGACCTGCATTCGGGGGGCGGTAACATTACACTGACATCTCTCGCAGATCGCAGGTGCCGTGTACTTTGAATGCAGTGCGGGAAACACACACATGACTGCTGGACATGCAGAATATCGAGGCCAATACTTAGAGAACCCCCCCCCCCCCCCCCGGACTGACACAAGCGCCAACTGACCTTACCTCCTCCATATACTCCCACCCAAATCCACGCTCCGCCTCGTCTGCACACCCCAGTCATGCTGGTCCTCCCTCTTACCTCAGTCCTGACTGATCGAAGGTTTTCCACACGGCATTCCAGGCTGAACCGGGCTTATTCTTCTATGGAGTGCCAATGGGACGCCATCATTGTCCTCTGGATGTGGAAAAAAGTGACTCCCTCCTCAGACTGGTGATTATTGGAAACAACATACACTATATTGCCCCAAGTATTGCCCCCCCCTCCAAATCATGTGATTCAGGTGTTCCAATCCCCTCCATATCATGTGATTCAGGTGTTCCAATCCCCTTCATTCCGATCCCCTCCCATCATGTGATTCAGGTGTTCCAATCCCCTCTATATCATGTGATTCAGGTGTTCCAATCCCCTCCCAATCATGTGATTCAGGTGTTCCGATCCCCTCCATATCATGTGATGATTCAGGTGTTCCGATCCCCTCCCAATCATGTGATTCAGGTGTTCCGATCCCCTCCATATCATGTGATTCAGGTGACCCAATCCCCTCCAAATCATGTGATTCAGGTGTTCCAATCCCCTCCATATCATGTGATTCAGGTGTTCCAATCCCCTCCATATCATGTGATTCAGGTGTTCCAATCAGGTGTTCCCCCTCCATATCATGTGATTCAGGTGTTCCAATCCCCTCCATATCATGTGATTCAGGTGTTCCGATCCCCTCCCAATCATGTGATTCAGGTGTTCCGATCCCCTCCATATCATGTGATTCAGGTGACCCAATCCCCTCCCAATCATGTGATTCAGGTGTTCCAATCCCCTCCATATCATGTGATTCAGGTGTTGTTCCCAATCATCCTCCCTCCCAATCATATCATGTGATTCAGGTGATGCAGGTGTTTCCAATCCCCTCCATATCATGTGATTCAGGTGTTCCAATCCCCTCCATATCATGTGATTCAGGTGTTCCAATCCCTCCCCTCCATATCATGTGATTCCGGTGTTCCAATCCCCTCCATATCATGTGATTCCGGTGTTCCAATCCCCTCCCAATCATGTGATTCCATATCAGGTGTTCCATCCCCTCCATATCATGTGGAATCCCCCATATCCATATCATGTGATTCAGGTGTTCCAATCCCCTCCATATCATGTGATTCAGGTGTTTCCCAATCCCCACCCAATCCGATCCCCTCCATATCATGTGATTTAGGTGTTCCAATCCCCTCCCATATCATCATGTGATTCAGGTGTTCCAATCCCCTCCATATCATGTGATTCAGGTGTTCCATCCCCTCCCATATCATGTGATTCAGGTGCTCCAATCCCCTCCATGGACACAGGTGTATACAATCAGCCCCTAGGCATGCAGACGGCTTCTACAAACATTGGTGAAAGAATGGGTCGCTCTCAGGAGCTCAGTGACTCCAAGCGTGGTCCCGTGATAGGTGGCCACCTAAGCAATAAGTCCATCCATGACATTTCCTGGCTACTAAATATTCCACGCTCAACTGTTAGTGGGATTATAACAAAGTGGAAGCCACTGGGAACAACAGCCACTCAGCTACCAAGTGGTAGGCCACGTCACATGACAGGGCGGGGTCAGCGCATGCTGAAGCGCACAGTGCGCAGAAGTCGCCAACTGTCTGCAGAGTCAATAGCTAAAGACCTCCAAACTTGGTGTGGCCTTCAGATGAGCCCAACAACAGTGCGTAGAGAGCTTCATGGAATGGGTTTCCATGGCCGAGCAGCTGCATCCAAGCCTTCCATCACCAAGTGCAATGCAAAGCGGCGGACTCAATATTGAACTCTACGGACTAAGACTGGGGGGCCACTAAAGGTCATGTGTGTGGAAAGGTAGGAGGTCCACTACGTGGGGCAATATCGTGTATGTTTCTTGCTTGTCCATGTGGAACCATCATTATGATTTTTAGCCCAGTGGATTGATTACAGCATCATATTTATGTATTGTCCCCATCTGGCCCCTTGCACACGGGGTAGACTCAGCTCACAGATCCCTTGCTGATTGGTGCAGAGTAGGCGGATGATTGGTCCGTGTCCAGTCCGTGTCCACTCAGTTAATGCAGAATGGACAGACAAATCCTGCTCTGCTCTAGGGGTGGTTGGGTGTTAGTGGACTCTGCTGCCCGTTTACACCCGTCTATCTGCCTAAAACAAACAGGAATGGATCCTCTTCTGGTTTTTCTTTTTTTGAGTGGACCAGATGGGACCCAGAGGTAGGGGGATATAAACAGACACAAGTTCATGCTAAATCCCATACCCTACTACCCTCAGGGGAGGGGGGGTGCAGTTTGGCACCTTCCCCCTGGGCAGTCCACGAGCTTGTCCTGGCTCTGCCCCCAATTATACACCCATTGGGTGCTGTGCACTGGATTTGTGTCCTACTGAGGGACACATTTATGAAGGTTGCATCCCGAGGTTGGTGGCCTCTTCAAGCCGATCCTGAACTCACTCATCAGGTGAATTCATTATTCTGCAAAGTCAGTTAAAGGTTTAGCAAATAAACGTATCTCTGTACAGAAGACAAGGGGAACATCACCGGCATGTGGAGAACAGAGCGCTCTACCATCAGTGCAGGGACAGGGTCTTCATGGCGAGGGTGGTCTAGCAGTGGATCGACCTACACTGAGGTAGTAACGGAAAAGACTGGAGAAAGCAATTCCTATCTACTACTAAACCATGGATGGTGAAGGCTTTGATTTGACTGTTTTTGTGGTTCATAAAGATTATCGATCTCACTGAAGGAGCAAACATTGCCATTCCATGGAGGGAAATTGGTCTTCATCTGGACCAACACTGCTGGAGCCGCTAATGCGGAGGACTGGATGTGACACTTCCAGGCACAAAGCACTCCGGCTACACTCATCGATGACCATCGCTACTAGAAGAAGACAATAAAAACCGAATACCTTACAAGATGAGCAAATATACAAGAAACACAACGCACCGGCAGAGGCATCACTTACCATCATCGGCATATCTCTCCTTCTCTTCATCCCACCGCCGGCCTCCAGTCAGGGTGTATGGAGTGTATTGGGAGAAGATGGAGATGACGTGACATCCAGGAGGAGCCAAGGTGGGGTCCAGGGATGAGGGGATAGATAGCTCCATCATAGGCCTGTGAGAAGTACAACATTGGAGTCAGTTCCATGGCCGGCATGCTCACAGCTCTTATGTAGCACCCAGTGGGCCGGCGCCAGGTTAGGTAAATTTAGTTCTAGCTCACTGTAATCAGTGCAGCTCCACGTGGTTGGCCGGGTCTGTTCTGTCTCACAGGCTGCAGGTTTGATTGTTCTCTCCTCGTATTTTCAGAACCCTCTGGATAGTCTAGGACCATAGTGCAGTAATGAAAATAGACAGCATGAATATTTCTACTGTCCTAGCCAATCCCTGGGAGCCCTGCACAGGTGGCTGCTGGGAAATGGTCTGAGAACTGGAGCAGAATGGTCTTGTCCATCAGGAGAGGATCACAATCTATGGGGGTGGGGTGGGGGTTGTCTGCCCTCTAGGGCAACCCTGCCATGTTACTGCTGTTTGTTGAGGCCTCAGCTGGGCTAGCTGAGGGCCTGGGTGCTAAGCATTGCTGGAAGCTGACTGAGGGACTGTCATCTGAGGATCTAGTATGAGGTCACTGGTAGACTGGTAGAGGTGTCTAGAAGGTTTTGGTCAGAGGCAACCAACATCTGAGGACATTTGTGAGTACAGACGGTGTGAGATCCCCAGGACTGGGGCTGCTGCCACCCCTATGGTGCTGGAGAGTCAGCTGTGTGCAATGGGGACCTCGGCTGGTGTCCTGAAGAGCCCGGTCCATCTAATTCTCTCTGAAGGGACTTGACTCAGATTGCTCAAAAGATGAAGCCTGCGTGCCTTTAGCTGCTACTACAAAGCCAAGTCCACTGAGCGCTTTTACAAGGACTTCGCTTTCAGTTGTACAGAAGGAGGTGTAGCAGCCTGTAGTGTGCAACTAGAATAGTGTGGTGTATTGCAGATACAATCATGGTGGATGACGCATGGTCGTTGAGTCATGTGACTGAGGTGGGTTATTGCAGGTCAGCTGGATCACTTAACAGGTTGTGGCTCTATCGCCTCCTCCTGACTCTGGAGGACCATAGAACCTTCCAGAAGTTGGTAAGCAGGAAGTGTTGGAGACCTGATATGCATGTTTATGGAAGTCCAGCCAATCCCAGGTTTGGTGGCCCTGGTAGAGTGGTGGACTGACCTATGAATATGGGAGAGTCAGGCTGACAGAAGAGTTGAGTGGAAGATGCAGAGCTGAGGAGACTGTTGGTGTCTGGGAGGGGTACCCTAGGTCTAGGGGTGGAGCAGCCTTCAAGCTGGGCTTGGGCTGGTTCAGGAGGATACATTCAGTGGTGAGGCATGAATGGGATTGAGACCTGGAGCATCAGGAAGCAAAGAGGACAAAGCGAGTTCAGCAACACTCTTTGGGATGTACAAGAGGAAAGCTTTCTAAGGACAGTGCTGGGCTCAACCCTTTCTCCTTGTCCCGGGAGATCTTCCGAGCAGCCAGGAGGACTGGTAGTGTTTGTAGGCTGTGGAGCTGGGAGAAGTTCTAAAGGGGAGAGGAGACATCTCTGCATGTAAATACATGAAGTAAAGCTGATTTTGAGGAGCTGCGAGTTCCTCGCCCATAAAGGACAGTTGCTACTGACGGCTTTCAGGAAAAGAACAGTCCAGGATCTGCTTTGTACATAGGAGGGAGGTGTCCCCCTTCACTTTGATTCAAGCCAAACTGGGCATTCCATAATCCCTATCCAAGTTATTTCCCCTAATAAAAAGATGAAACCAAGCCTATGGACAGGTCACTGTCTCCTGGATGTAAGCCTGTGTGAAAAATACCTGTTGCCTGGATGTGACGGGAGTGACTTTGGGTGGGGGGGCCCATGGAACACAGCTCACTTTGGAACCCATGGAACACAGCTCACTTTGGGTGGGGGGGCCCATGTAACACAGCTCACTTTGGAGAGGTGGGGAGACCCCTGTCTCAGCTCCCCATATCCCTCCTATGTGTAAGTCACCCTGTGCCTGTTAGGGGTGCAGGGTGATCTGTCCTAATATTGGGGGGGGTTTGTCTCAGACTGTGTAGCCATGTCTAGGAGATAGGTGGGGTGGGGCTTGTGGATTGTTTGTGCCATGTGGTGCATCCCATTGTTCTATTGTGTGTCTTGCTTGGGAGCAAACTATTATGGGATGTATGTGCTTATGTGTATTGGCTTGGTGGGGGGTGTCTCCAGCAGCCCTCCCCCCTGATGGGACTGTCTACTGGTATGTCTCTTGTTACTAAATGTAGATTGCCCCGCCCTGTGTCATTATGCAGGGAGGGGGGATTGCCCCGCCCCGTGTCATTATGCAGGGAAGGGGGACTGCCCTGTGTCATTATGCAGGGAGGGGGGATTGCCCCGCCCCGTGTCATTATGCAGAGAGGGGGGATTGCCCCGCCCCGTGTCATTATGCAGGGAGGGGGGGGATTGTCCCCTGAGCGTATATATCTTGTATCTGTGTTCAAATAAACTAGTCTACCTCCTGGTTTACTCAAAGACTGGTGTTGTCTAGTCCTGTATGGTCAGCGGTGGTGTCAGGCGGTCGGTGTTTGGACGGGGAAGCGGGATTCTAGCGGAAGTACTCAGCGCAGTCTGGGTCGGTTCCGTTACACTGGCTGTGTAGAGCTTAGCAGTGCCCACAACACAGCGGCCCTCACGAGGGTAGCACTATAGAAGTTTAGTGTCCTCGCCTTCTATATAGGTCTTTTTTGGAGTATC